TAACCCGTAACCCTAACCCTAACCCTAAGGGGGAACCCTAATTCAACCCTAACCCTAAACCCTAACCCTAACCCTAACCCTAACCCCCACGCTAACCCTAACCCTAACCCTACCCCTAACCCTAACCCTAACCCTAACCCTAACCCTAACCCTAACCCTAACTAACCCTAACCCTAACCCTAACCCTAACCCTAACCCTAACCCTAACCCTAACCCTAACCCTAACCCTAACCCTAACCCTAACCCTAACCCTAACCCTAACCCTAACCCTAACCCTAACCCTAACCCGCCGATTTTCAATAGCAGTTTTAATGTCTGCTTTCCGGTGGAATTTACGGAAGATTCAGATGGTGACAACACACTGGGTGAGCGATAGATGGTCCGAATCCTGATTCTGCCGCGCTTGGCTTTTCCAGAGGAAACGCTGCGCTGTGAAATTGCCATGATGAAGTGCATCAGGCTGTCCTTTTATCCTACAACAATGTGTCATGTGGATGTATTTTTAAATCCGTACTGGACATTTCTCGGGATATGAATCAAGCATCGTAGATTGATCACAGAGATAACTACAACACCTATCCCCTGCTTACATGGGTATTCAATTAAATAAGACAACCCACTGGTCCTCCCGTTTGTGCTGCAGGGCTATGTGAAATAAAAATCCCTCTTTCAATATAAAAGTCCGCAAACTCCCAGCTCCCGAGATGTGACAAATTTTTGGCAATCTTGGAGAAATCTACATCCAGCTCTTTCAGCACAAATTTGACCGAATTGGCGCTCTTATATTTGACGGGACAGATGAACACTGGATTTTTGACGACAATCGACCACTTTCTGTATTAATGAACGACCAGACCCTAGCCAGAATTGAGCCATGCCGCCTGGCAGGACCCAACCAAACATTTCACTCAACCATTCTCATACATCTACAGCCTGCATAAATCCAGGAAGTTTTTGATGAAGTGGGTAAAGCCTGAATACAATCATGGCCTGTTTGTTTTGATGCACAATGATCTACGGTCCGCCAATATTATAGTCGACAATGACCTGATCATTGTCTCTGTATTGGACTGGGAATGGAGCTACACTGATCCTGTACAGATGTTCGTGCCTCCATACTGGCTTGATGGTCTTGAGCTGGTAGGAACTGCAAAAATGCCTGACCGGCTGATCTATGAAACTTTTGTGTTCAACTTTGAGATGGAAACAAGACAACGCGAGAAAAATATCATCCTGAGTGCCGATATCTGGATCAGCTCCCGCTGACAAAGATCTGGAGGAAAACCCTAAGGTCTCCAGACCTTTTTATTGCACATGGATTGTTGCAACCACTTTACTTTGGGAATCTATACTGGTCTGTGCTTGAATATCAGTATTATGGGAAACGACAGGATTCATCATTATCAGAAAAGAATGGACGACTTCTTCAGTTTGGAATACATAAGTCTGAACTGGAAGCGGTGCAGTGAAAACTTCAAGAGCTTGAGCTATTTAATAAGGAGTGTGAGAAGCTCCACATTAAAAGAGAGACATATGGCATTCAGGAGTGATATCGAGGCCCCCAAAGAATTATCTTGAGAAACCAAAGAACCATTTACCGCACCGTTGCACCAGTGAAAAATCAGTCTCCAAAGCTTTGCACATCACCCATCTCTCTCCCAAACCAAGCGAGTCTTGTTTACTGGTCATTTATCGGCGCCACATTCATCGCAGCCTGCAGCCTCGTTATATTCCTAGAATGAAGTGACTGGGGAATCCGAAATCCGCTAGTGTCTCTCGCTATTTTTATGGCTGTGAAAGGAGTTCAATGGAGGATTCAACGGTGGATATTCTGCTGCCTATATTAACGAGCTCTTCCTCGTAGTGGGCTATCCCTTCGTCATGAGTGAGGCCTCTTTGCTCGTCCGATTGAATACCAAATGCATACCGACCACTTGTTGTGAGCTGTTCTACCTGCTGATGCCATTGTCGAAGGGCCTTTATGAATTTCACTAATTCTATTTGGTGTACTTGGAGTTCGTCAAGTTCCCTTTTCTTCACCTCCAGCTCAACAACGTTACTCAAGGTTGGCTGTGTTCTCCGAGGCATTTGGAAGGCTCAACGTAAAACTCTCTGTAAAGTGTATTGATGAATTGGGTTTGCAAGCAATGATATATAATTTAATATTGAATCAGCAGGCTCTGCTCTGTGGTAAGATTGAGATTAAAGATGGTGTGTTTATTTAGCACCTGAGCCTCGCTGTTGAGCAATTGTATATCCTCGTAACTTGGAATTCGTTGCTTTTTCTCACTCTCCTGAGCCTTTTTGGTTTCTTCTTTTACTCTGTCCTGCAAATATTAGGCATTCATCACTCCTGCATTGCCCTATTGGGTGAAAATCAGTTACATGATATAAAATAGCAGGGTAGTTCATGAAGTAGTGTTGCTCGGAACCTTGAACTTCTTTCTTCCTAACTAACAAACTGTGAAAGAACAAGTGCTATTGGAAGCATGGAAGGTGTTCTCATCATCTTTGAGGATGACTGTTGCAGGCTGGGAGTGCGAAGCAACAGCCAACTTTGATGCCCAAAGATGCATAGCTTTCTATCACGTGTTCTTCAGGATAACTAGATGGTTAATTCTTTCCTTAGCTGCAGGAATCATGCAGAAGTTGTAACATGGATTGGAAGAAAGCAGGCTTGAATTTTACACATTAATGAGGACTATACATGCTGACCATGGCTAAATTTCCAGCCTTTGGGTTGATAACCTGACCAGGGGCTGATTATTGACCGACCTGGACTGCGCTGGGGCCAGCTTTCATGGGCGCCGTGGTTGATGGACCAGCTCATCGAAAGAAGCCAGCTGCATCAGTGTCCGTTGCGGTTCAAGGGCATTGCTTCCCCTGGGGAATGTGGCAATGTTGAGGCAGTACAGGAAGGGAAGAAGATTGTTTTAACAAGGAGATTGATGAGGCTTCTTGCCTTGGTACATCTACAATTTTTATTATTTTTATTTTTTTTAGTGTTTTTATTTTGTTATGTTAAGCTTACATTTGACTAGATTTCTATCACTGCTGCTCTTTATGAGGGATACAACGGGTTTAATTTCTATGGTGTATAGATGGGGGGGAATGGTAGAAGTGAAAAAGATATTTGATCAAGGCCAAGGGGAGAATACCACTCTTATAAATAATCTCTGCTAGTCAACTGGTTTTAGCGCCTTAAGGCATCCTGATGGGCGATAGGTCAGAACTGCACCAGACCCCAAGCCCTGCAGGGAAGTCTCAAGCCATAAAATCCCCCTGAAGGCCGATCGATCGTCATCTCAGGATATCGCCTCTCCCCTCCCTGATAGTAAACGACGGACGAGTTCGAACTGAGAGCCTTGTGCTCTAAAAGGGCAGCCAAGGGAAGTTGGTCTCATATCTTTCCTTGCCTTATCTCTGGAGCTCAGTTGCTGACAGCCTTGGTGACAGTCTTCAACAGAGCAACTGATCCTTGTAGACTCAGAGAGCTATGCAGAGAATTCTCAGAACAACGTCAAATCCAAGTTTATGGGCTCTGATGGGCGCACCGATGCTGGAGGCGGAGGGGTTGCTGCTATCACATCTTCCAGCACAGGAGTCTGATCGGGGCCTGGAGTTCCCGACAATCCTGGAAAGTGAGATGGAGAAGAGCATCAATGGTGAGGCGGCGACGCCGGCGATGCAAGGGTGTTCAAGTTGAGATTCCTTACCCATCTGACGCTCTCCAGTAGACAGCGAGGCGACTAAAAGGAGCGATCCCAGCGACGATGGTGACTTCAATAGCCCCGACAAATGCTGCGACGACGAGGCGTATCAAGGAAGCAATGGTGATGGTGGCCAAGTCACTAGGCGGCCACGGCAGCGGCTGAAACTCTCATCTGGTCCTCCTCTGTGTTCACTGTCCCTTCTACAGCTTGAACAGAAGATCCTTCCCTGACTGGTGTGATAAATGATAAAAGTCACGGAACCTAGAGAAGTACTGTGCAAATCTAGATAGTGATTCTCCCAGTGTGCTCGCTGTCTCACAAGCTGATATGATGACAAACTGCTTAAATAATAATGTACCAGTCTCCAGCTTTCTTTCAAGCTACTCCAAAGTGTGCTATACTATAACAACCTACTATGAGGAGGTTGGCAAGTTCTTATCAGGGAATGCAAATGATTTGTCAAGTTCAAGTCATGAAAAGCAGCTCTTTGTCACGACCAGTATATATGTGCAATTTGACTCAAATGATGGCATGCTGCTGAAAGAACTCTAGGAGAATGATCAGTTATGAAATGAGATTGCCAAGTACTTCACAGGCAGGTTCAAAATAACACTGCAGGTGCGGTACTCCACCAAGCTGAAGCCTCATACCTCATCAACATGCAAGTTAAATTTTTATAAATGTAATTGCTGCTGATAAGAATATATCAACAATAGCTATAGCTATGAATATCAGCAAAGACCTTGAAAGGGATATGAATCCTCAAAAACTAGTACAGTAGGTGATATTAGAAGTAAACTAGTACAGCTATATATATACAATTAAATATTATTTAAAATTCAATTATAAAAGTTAATATTGTAATTGTTTTTAAATAAACCATTTACTATTATTTAATAATTACATTTTATATAATTATAATATATAAGTTTAATAATTTTTTAAAAAATAAAAATTAAAAAATTAAAATATATAATTAAAATTTAAAAAAATATATAAAAATATTTTAATTAAATCTAAATTAAAGATATATATTTAATAAAATATTAAAGTTTTATAGTATCTTTAATCTATATTATTAAAAGTTTAAATTAATAAAATTTTATAAAATAAAAATATTAAATACTTTATAACTGATTAACATTTTCAAATTATCTCTAATAAAAAATTATTTATAGATATAAAAGTGCTTAATACTTAATTTTTTTAATCTTATTATAATTTTTTTTTGCATATTTTATTAATTCTTTTATTATTTTATACTAAAAATATTAATATACTTTAATTATAAAATTTATCATTTGCTTCAAAATCAACTATAAAATATCACTTTATAGCAGGTTTAAAACAATTAAATTATACTTTTTATTAGAAAGATTATCATCAAAATATTGATTTTTATAAATCATATTTATTATTTTTTAAAGTAAAATAATAAACAAATGTAAATTACTTTATAAATTATGTATATTTGCAATATTGATACAACTTACATTTACTATTAAGTAATTAGTTATAAAATATGAGATAAGACAATGCAAGATTTGAATCATATTAATAGAAAATAAAGAAACTCAGTTTTTGCTAAATGATCTCTTCAAGATTTAAAGAGTTTTGAATTTCTGTAGAAATTTTAAATTAGTGTAACTTGTTTCACCATGAACTGAGACATCTTTTCATGTGATACAACTAGTTCAGTTTAGAAAGTATCAATTAAAATAAAGTAGCTTCAATTTTTATCATATTCAACATTAACTATCTTAGCATATAGTTAATCATTTAGAAGTTTATGAGTGTAAATCAAGTTGTCATAGCTGCTGTTTTAGCTATTCTACTGAATATCAATAATTAAGTTATATTATAACTATCAAATTAATATTTCTCATATGCAAGTCTAAATAATTATACTTATTATTTGAATATATTACTGATTTAAAAAATTATAAATGCTAACTATTTTTTAAAGAAATTGCTCTTGTGCAGTGAATTCTAATTTATAAGATAAATATACTCTTTCTTCTTAACTCTTTCACTGTATAAAGTCTATGAAAATTTTTAGCTTAATTTAATAAATATTATTTATTGTTTAACTTAAGCTAAATCATATTCTCACATGATATGAAACTCTATTAAGTAAATCTAAACTGATGACTGACTACACTATAAAGACTAATTACTAGTAGTAGTTCTAGACAAAAGCATAGTTGATGCAAGTCATGTCTAGATATCATACACATGTATTATATACTGAAATATTGGAAGAAACATATCTATCTACATGACAAGCATTCTAGAAGAGTAAAAAAAAAATAAATGAAGAAAAATAAAAAGAAGAAAAGAAGAATAAAATAAAGAGCACACCAGGAATTACTCAATAAAAATTGTATGAAAGATGGTGTTGCACTTTATCTGTGAATGCTGAATTGATAACTTTAAATGTTGTTATTCAAGCTCATGAACTAACTTGGTTGGTGAACTATTTTAATTGGTGCTTATTTCATTAGACTAAATATCAATTGAGTAAGCAATCCAGTTAACATTAGTTAACTAACTAACTAGTTATAGTTAAAGTAAGGTTGAATGACATATTATGTTAACTACAAAGAGCGAGCTACAGTTAGCCTAAACATTTATTGAGTTAAGCTGTTTGATTTAAGGCTTAAGGTTGATCTAGTTATCAAAAGTCTGAGTTATATATAGACCTGCGTGTTCTTAGAGCATCCTTAGAATTCCGGGAATTCTATTAACATCATTTGAATTTAGTGTATTTTGAAGAAGACCTTTTGGTAACGAAGTCCACACTCCGTTCTCCTCACGAAGCAACGGAGAAGGTATGTTCATAACCTCCTCAGCTATGGAGCTAACTATTAGTTCACCTGGACTAATTAAGTTGAAACTAATAATGAGATAGCAACTTAGTTGGAAGGGGAATCTCGTGACCAGCCACACTGCGCCCATTTTTACCCCCAGGTTGTTTCGCCCTTGGACTGGCGGAGATGAGCGGCAGTGGAAATCATTACTATGTTATGAGGTGGCATTCGTTTATTCAGTCATTCAGTTATTCAGTCCATTCAGTCATACATTCATGCATGCATTCATGCATTGATTGCCTTTAATTCCTTTCTTCTTTCTTTATTCGCCATTTATACCGACATCTGGCTCTCCGACATTCTCCTCCCCTCACCTCCCCCCTCCCCCCCCATCCGGCGGCGTCTGGGGTTGAGTTGTTAACTAAACTCCTACTGTGTGAGGACCCGTCCACTTTACCTGCATATTCATGGCGATGTCCACGGGCTCGGCTCGCATCCATAAGCGGGCTTATCAGGTACGAACCTTCAACACCGGCTTCCATCTCCCGGTTCTGTTCTTCCATCATGCCCCCATGGAGTGACTCCACCTCCCCCACAATTTCTCACAACCTCCGAGGCTCCCTCAGCCTCCCAGAGCATTATCTTCCTTTTTGTTCCTTTCCTTCTCTTTACCTCTACCCGTTTTCGTCAATAATACCTTGATCGGTCACATTTCGAGGAACATTTTTAATCCATTTGTAGGCTTGTATCCCGTGTCGTGAACGCAGAGTCCGTTGTGATTTGGGATCTGTCGATTCTCCCCATGAGGGCCCATGTGGAAGATGTCGTCGGGAACGCAAATTCTGCCATTTCTCTGCTACCAGGGGGAAGAAGAAGGCAGTCGCAACAGCAGCCACAACGATGACAGCCGCTGCGGGAACCTCTCGACAATCTACCCAACAGCCAGAAGAGGGTTACTTGCCACCAGGGGAGCGAGCCCCCATTTTCGATAGTCCAATCAACAGCCCCCATGGTAGCAAAGTCAATGATTTCCATCATACTCCCCATTCTCTTACATCCCGTAGTGAGATTGGTAGTCAGATAAAGGCACCTCCAGATATCTTACGGCAGATGTCATCCAGTGATTCTCGACCGCAAGCAAGCTCGTCAGGTGGTGAGAAAGCGGTAGCTACCCTGCTCCGGGATGCTGCCTACACATCCCACGACGCTCTCAACCTGCTGTGGGAAGCGGGCAGACATAGCGAAAGAGAACGAGCAATTATTGCACCTGGCACTACAGCATCTGCTCGGCCCTCCACCGCGACGAGTGGTCCTGGCGGGCCATCGGTTGCAACAAGTAACCACAGTTCCGGCACCGGTGATCCCCGCCAGCCATGGTCGAACCTTCGCTTCGTGCGCACTGGTCTGTTCACTGCAGAGGAGGCGATGGAACTTGTGAATTATTTCCATGCTTACCTTGCTCCGTTTACACCTATTTCATCCTCGCCTTTCCAAGATCCTTCCACGCATCCAGTTTTGCTGGAAGAGGAACCCATTCTTGCGGTCACAATTCTGATGCTTGCCTCTCGATACATGAAGTTCTCGGGGCCTGGTTCAATTTCTAGGTCTTATATGATCCATGAACGCCTGTGGCAGCATCTACAAGGCATGATTTCTCGAATGATATTTGGACAGGAGCAATTCGCCGGAGCCACAAATGATAACGGCGCTTCCGCGGAATTTTCGGGACAAACTTCCGAATTCGCTCTTTCTGGTTCGAATTTCGGAAGTCTACGTACTTTGGGAACCTGTGAAGCTTTGCTTCTGCTCTCTGAGTGGCACCCTCGCTCCCTTAATGTTCCCGCTGGCGATGATGGAGACAGCATTGTAGTCAAGGATGATGTCCGGCGGACACGGGCAAATAGAGCAGGGATTGGGGCCCGGATTAGAATTGATTGGCTTGATCCGGTTTGGAGATCGGACCGAATGTGCTGGTCTATGCTCGGGAATGCGTTGGCTTTAGCGGTCGAACTTGGCATTTTTGATGAATATGACAATACAACAATAGGAGCTCGGGAGTCCCGTCGGGATATATGGAACAATCCGTCCTCCAGCCAACGTGCATATCGTGTGCAGCACCTGCTTTGGGTGTATCTCACTCAGACCTCGGGACGACTAGGTAAGATATTTGCCTTGATTTATCGACTCAACGTGACCAAATTGCTTATGTCGATGCGCAGGCTGGAAAAATTTGACGTCAGTTTCTGTAACTCCCCATGAAGCAAGTCGCAAACATGGAGATACCATCAGATGTTGGATTGGAGTTGCCTCCCTCATGAAACGAGGTAACGAGCTTTTGTTTACGTCAAGGGAGAAGACCAAGGAGATTGTCCGGAGTGGTGAATATCTTGGGATTCTTCGCGTGCTCAACCCTTTGCTCAGAGAATGGCAAATAGAGTTCGATAGGGCAAAGTGTGAGTTTGATTCCCTTAATAGAGAGTATTCGCTGATATAGAATATCAGTCTGACCTCACTGTGTGTCCAGTATCCAAACCGATGAGAGCAATTCTCTCGATAGAATATGGATATGTTCGAGTCTACATCAACAGTGTAGCTCTCCAGGCAATGGTTGAGCAGCATGAGCGAGGCGCGGGTGATGGAACAGGCATGCGGGTTTCATCGGTACTAAACACCTACGACGGAAATAAAGAATACTTTATGGAAGTGGTTTCTGCTGCGAGAGCAATTTTGCAGGTAGTCGTGAAAGACCTTGTACCCGGTGGCCACTTAAAACATGTCCCGATACGAACATATTCAAGAATATTGGCAGGAGCTATGTTTTGTCTGAAGGTATGTGTGTTAAACAACGTGTGATCTACCTGTACGTGCCTTTTTCTGAAACTAAGCTCGGTTGGCTCAGGCTTTTGCCCTTGGGGACAAGGATGAGGAAACAGTGGTCTCGTTAGCACTAGTCGAGCGTACTGCAGAGGCTCTCTGCACATGCGTAGTCGATGACGTCCATTTAAGCAACCGTTTTGGTGAACTCCTCACGGCCTTAGCATCCAGTCTTCGGAACCGTGTAATGCGAGCTACGGTGAATAATTCCTCCCAAAGCGGAAATATTACACCTAGTAACTTGCCATCGCAACGACATCACTTCCAGAATGGAGCAACACCAGATATTCCTACGACCGGCGCCAACAACAACTCATATGACCAAGCCGTTGAATGTACGGGAGTGGATCCAATGGTGACATCTAAAGTAGAGTATAGTATGCACTGCTCTTCAAGCATATATGCAACAACGAGCGAACCATCTGGTTATCTGCATGCGCACCCGCCTAATGGAGTTGTTGATCATGGCTCTTTTCACCAGGACCCGCTAATGAGTTTCGCCGGCCTAGGTACTAATCAGCTGGGATGGTCCGGCGGACAGGACTTCTTTGACATGCTGGGCCCTTTGTTGGATGTGCAATATGAACAGTATCGCTAATCACCAACGTCAAGATTGAAACCAAGCAACTGGGAATTGCTGAGAAAGAGAGTTGAAAAATTACGGTGCTTGGGGCCGTGACACTTTTGGTGACTTGACTAGTTCTCCCTGGCGACGGATGTGTACGCTACAACTGTTGTAAGTTGTGGGCTTATACGACCTCCCGTTGAACGACTCGCATATTTACTAACGAGTTATCTAGGAAGACTTTCTCTTTTTTACCCTTTCCTGTGGCCAAACACGAAGCTTTAAAAAGAAATATAATTATTCTGAGACATGACACTTCCAAGATGGTAAAGCAATTAATATAGTCACAATGAAGAAAATGCAATTTCAAAAATAATGAGAAGTACAATGTTTTTGATTTAATCAATTATATATATTTTAATTTTTTTTAATAAGTAATAAAAGTTAACAATTGATTGATTATAATATAATTATTAATTAAATAAAAATTTAAAAAATATATAAAAATTTAATTATTTTTTATGAAAATAATAATTAAAATTAAATAATAAATATTTTTTTATAATTTTTTTTATTTTATATATTAATAAATAATAAGTTTTAAATTTTATTAATTATTAAACTTTAAAGTTAATATTTAAAATTTTAAATATAACAATATAAAATAAATTTTTTAATAATTTATAAATATTATAAAGTAAATAAGTTTTTATATGTTTTTTTATATTTTTTTTTATTTTTTATAAAAAATTTTATTTAAGAAATTATTTTAAAATACAAAAGTTTTACTTTTTAATTAATGTTAAATTTTAGTTATTTAATTTATAAATTTGTTTTATATTTATATAAGCTAATATATAAATTAACTAATTAGTTAGTTATATAATTTTATATTTATTAAGTTATAAGACAGATGAATTCATAAATTAATTAATTTTTTTGCAACCCTAGTTAAATAAGAAAAAGATATCTGTTTTACAAGTTTTGTTTTGTACGGACGCCTGATTGTTGTAATTAATTTTTATTGGCTTAGTGAGCGCCCGCAAGCATGGTTTGGTTGTTAGCGGATACTGCGGCTACCCCAACCACGTGCCTTCCCCTATACGATTTACATCTCGGCTAGTTTGAACTAGTTAGTTATTAGTTAGTTTAGTTGGCTAGTAAAACAACTCTCCTGGTCAACTCAATAACCTACATATAACAGCCCACAACCCCAATGACCTTCCGACAACCATCGATATAATTATTGTGTGGCTAGATACATACATACTTACTTAGGTACCTGCATAGCCCATCCAGCAGCAGGCGTACTCTTCGTCGACAATGGCCCAACCATCGCCCAAACTCTCTTCTGCTGGCGTTCTTCCCATCTCTGCCTCGGCCACACAGAAAGGATCTTCGACCAAACAGAGCTCCAAAGCAGCTACTCCAAGACTGAAATTATTGATTCGAAGGCTTCCTCCTGGTCTCACATATCAGGAATTCGAGGCATCTCTGGGTGATGAGTGGAAGGTCGGGAATGGAAAAGTTGACTGGCTTCAATTCAGGGACGGCAAGATTTCGAAAGAGTAAGTCCTTATTCAACCATTCCTATCCCTTCCCTCCCCTTATATCTTCGCTCATCAAACGACCGTCATGGATAGATGGATAGCGTCCATGGGCCTTCTTATTTTTATTTTTATTTTTATTTTTATATTTTTGACCATTGATTTCCATCATACTAGTCGGGCAAAGCCTTCCAAACCGACGAGGGTATATCTTCGCGTTACTTCCACGCCCTTGGTGGAAGAGTTATCCGAAAAAGTTCGACAATTGTCTTTTCAAGATGCGCAGAACACCAGCCGTGATCCTGTTCTTTTGGGACCACCGGCCCTGGAATATGCACCGTATCCCCGTGTGCCGGGAAGCAGGGTTCGCAAGGATGGCCGCCAAGGTACAATTGACCTGGATTCTGATTTCATCGCATTCCTCGAGAGTTTAACCAACCCGGTTACCAAGACTACTGTGGATATCAGTGCGGAGGATGCGAAGGAAGAGAAATCAACAATAACACCACTCATCCAGTTCCTGAGAGAGAAAAAGGCGAATAAAGGCAGGGAAGCTGTTTCCCCGGCTAAGCCCTCGAGACACGCTCGTGGCGAGATGAGGGAGTCGAGGGATAGCAAGGGTGAACGGGTGCATGCGAAGAAGTTGTTGAGCCGCACGGAAAGACTGATAACATCACCAGGAGACAGACAGTCAAAGGTTGATAGGGCCACCAAGGAAGCTGTCAAGGCTGTTAACAAACAAGCTACTATTCAAGCCGCAAAACCACAAGGGAAAACAGTTGCATCCCGCCCGGCAAAGGAAGAATCCCCTGCACAAGCCACACCACCGCCCGAACGCAAGCGAGAACGGGGAAGCATGAGCGCTGCAACGAAAATTCTACGTCGGGACCTGGGACTTGGCCCGGCAACTCAGCGGAGAAGATCGGAGAAGTCAACAAGCGCGGAAGCTATATCACCGCCACCGAATACTGAGACTACCAAAGCAACTTCTCCCTTACATAAAAATAGTAACAAACAGCCCTTGTCGACTAAAACCAGCAACAAGGGAGCTGAATCGTCCAACAATAAAATCACGTTTACCAAAGCACCAAAAGTTCCTACGTCCACTGACATTTCAGCAGGTCGTAATCCAAACAAACCGACAAACCCTTCAACAGGCCCTGTGAATTTTTCTGCACCATCCGGACCTAAACTGGTAGCTACGCCGGCCGCTGCACAGGCGGCCTCCCTGCCCAGTGCTACGCAAGCCTTCTTAAAACATGCCAATCCATCACAGGGAGTGACTGAGGAACTGCTTGCCTCCGGTTTCTCTACTTTTGGAAAGGTCATCAGGGTTGAGATAGACAAAAAGAAAGGATTTGGTTACGTGGACTTTGCAGAACCAGAGGGCCTAAGCAGAGCTATACAAGCGAGCCCCGTCCAGATAGCCCAAAGTCAGGTTGTCGTTCTGGAAAGAAAATCTGGAGCAGCCGTCGCGCAGGCAAGGGGAAATGCCAGCAGCAACAATCGAGCAAGCCAGTCTCCAACCGGCCCGGCAACACGGGTTGGGTCGGGAGGTACAGGGCCTGCACCATCACGACATACCCGTCGAGGCCATAGAGGCAGGGGTGAATTTAACAAAACGGTGGGAGGGGGTGGGGGAGGAGGAGCCAATGCTGGAGGTAATGGCGTAGGTGGCGGAGCCAAAAAGAATGCCTCTTCAGCCTGACCAGCGAGCGCTGGAACCGTACGAGGGTTGTAAACATCGATGTCAAATAATACTAAACTCAGCTGCTTACAATAGGTGATGGAAGATGGATTTTGCATCCGTGGCGTGAGATGAGAGCAGCATTCCCACGAATATGAGGTCTGTTTCCAGCTTCAATCTAGCTAGAGTAACAACCACTAACTCCACCTAAACAGATCGAACCTCGGGAACAAGCTATGGCATGTCACGACAAGTGTTCAATGCGTATGCGTAGGGTTTTTAAATTCTGAAGAGTTAGTTAGGGGGTATATACAAGCTCCCAAACTCTGGCAATATGCAAGGCTACAAAACATAAAAATTATTGAACCCAACATTTTATATAGAAGCTCCCACATACAATAATCCAATAAGACGAAATTATGTTAATCGTATATATTCTACGCGACTATATGATCATACAATATATATGGGATAAATCATTGTACGCGGCCCCCCCCCCCACAATAATCCGCAACCCGCAACTCTCAAAAAGAAATAAACAAAAGAAGGGAAGGGCGGGGGGGGGGGGGGGGGGGGGGGAAAGGAAAAAGGTGGGAGGTTAGAACCTTTCAGACCTCCACAGCGCCCACCAAACCAGGCCGACCGAAGTCAAGACGCCAAGGCAAGGTCAAGATCATCACCACTCCCTGGATTGAAGCAGACACACGAAATCGGTGACCGAAGCAATCGAGGCGGGAGTATAAAAAGGCTTCACTCTAGGGCGCTGGGGACATGGTGGTCATCAGCAAGGTTGGGGATTCAGTCGCTAGTGCGAAAAAATCAGGTGGGACGATTTACTATAGAAATGATTCTCTGTTGTTGAAGGGATTCATGCATTAGCATTGGATGTTCGAGGCCGGACTGCAAATTCTGAGGATGAAGGATGAAAGATGAGGCATGAGGGGTTGTGGGGTTGGGGATAGACTGCATGTAGGGGGGTAGCTTACTTGAAGTAAAGTCGACTGGATTTTAGAAAGAAGATCGCGGGTTGGGGGGACTTATATACTGATGGCAGTGGGCTGGGCGGGGCCCTCTAGAGACGCTAGACCGGCGCTAGCAGTAAGCGAGAATCAATCATGGGATGAACTGGCCAATCACGGAGGGCTAGGGTTAGGGCATGAGAAATGAGAAATGAGAGATCACGTGTAGAGATAATTTTCCCAGCTGGCAAACACCCCAAACAGAAAAAAAAAAAAATTACGTAATTCAACCACGAGTTAAGGGGAAGGAATCTATTTTAACGTTGGAAGGTTCTTCACCCTTGAACGACCCTCTACGCGGGAAAAGAGAACATTAGGAATATTTTACGGAGTGCCCCGTATGAGGATTTGGGTAAATATTCCTCTCCTTGCCCATATCTTGGAGGGACCTTCGGTCAATAATTGGCCGATTCTCATCCCGAGCGTGTCTCATCCGAGAGTGGCTCATCCGAGCGTGGGAGTAAACAGCGAGTTGAACAACTAATGATGATGACTGGAATTGTGCTGGGTATATCTCCCCCAGGTACTTGGGAACCGTGAATGCTTTTTTTGGTTTCTATTTCTATTTTTTTCTTTATTCTTTTTTTTATAAAAACAATATTTTGGTATTTGTGGTAACGTGGCAATGTGGTGATATAATTCTGCTGCTAACAACAGTAATTCGTACTAATACGTTAGGGCTTCTCTCCCTGTGGCATAAATATCGAATCCCTATACTCTTCCTGGCCCCCGTTGTTCTCGCCGTAGTGCGACTCCTCCCGAAATACCCTACATCCGACCCCCCTCACTCCTCCGGCTCATCCCCATTACCATCTTCAAAGGAAACCATAAATTCGGGTGATGTGCAGGAACGAGAGTTGTTGTTATCCAAGACAGAGCCCCCGTTGGCAACTTTGACCAAACATGACCCTTCGCCATCCTCCTCCCCTGACAGCGATAAAAGGACCAAGAGGCGTCTGAATGGACCAAAGAGAGTCCATGGCACGAAGCCCTTGAAAAATGATGTAAACCGCTTGAGCGGGCACGCGAGATTACCACGGGATATTGTTATCCAACCTTTAGTATTTTACGCCTCTTTAACGGGCTCGACTGAAGCCTACGCCAAATCATTCTGCGACCGGCTTCAGGGTGCAGCGCAATCGTCACGGAATAATGGCAATGGGACATTCCTTGCCCCAAAGCTTCATGATCTGTCGTATATAGAGTTTGATGACTACTTCATCGCGGCTCCCAATCCAACACACTCTGCCCCGAATACTAAGTTCTTTTATTGTATTTTGATCCCCACTTATAACATCGATACTATGATAAATACATTCCTGGACCATCTGAATGAAACTCATAATGATTTCCGCATCAATACCTCCTCTCTTTCTGGGTTGATAGGGTATTCCGTATTTGGTTTCGGAGACGGAGAGGGCTGGCCTACCGAAGAAGCAGGTTTCTGCTCACAGGCGAAGGAAGTGGATAGATGGATGGCCAAGCTGACGGGAAAGAAGAGAGCTTATCCATTAGGATTGGCAGACGTCAAAGATGAAAACCTTCAAATTATTCTCAGTGATTGGTGTGACGGCTTGAGTGATGTTCTATCCGATTTGGTGGCGTTAGGGGGAGGGTTGGGGGAGGGTGTTCCCGGAAGTGGCGATCCCATCGAAAGCGATGAGGAAGAAGATATTGATGGCGAGCCCGCAGAGAACAAAACCAATGGAGGGAACAGGCTAAAGAAAGACCAGGAACAACGGCCGATTGTCGATATGGAAGACATCAAGTTCACAATTTCCGACGAGAAGACTTCAGCTGATTCTCAATTATTGCCTATCGATTTTACGACGCAGTCAGGAACGCAATCTTTTAAGCCTGCTGCACAACTTGAAATGGTACCCACATCGTCTCCCACTCACGCTGCACTAACGAAGCAGGGATACACAATTGTTGGCTCACATTCGGGGGTGAAGATATGTCGTTGGACAAAATCCGCATTGCGAGGACGGGGCTCCTGCTATAAGAATTCGTTCTACGGAATTAAGTCGCACCTTTGTATGGAAACCACACCCTCGCTCTCATGCAGCAACAAATGTGTCTTCTGTTGGCGCCATGGAACAAATCCAGTGGGAACCACTTGGCGGTGGAGAGCCGATCCTCCAGATCTCATTTTTGATGGGGTAAAAGCTGGTCACTACAAGAAGATCAAAATGCTACGAGGTGTACCTGGTGTTCGAGCGGAACGCTTCGCAGAGGCGATGCGTATTCGACATTGTGCTCTGAGTTTGGTTGGCGAGCCGATATTCTATCCTCATATCAACAAATTCCTGGAGCTTCTTCACGGCGAACAGATTTCTAGCTTCCTGGTCTGCAATGCACAGCATCCGGATCAACTTGCCACCCTTGATCGCGTTACCCAATTATATGTTTCTATTGACGCCAGCAATCGTGAAAGCCTTCGGAAGATCGACCGCCCCCTTCATCGTGACTTCTGGGAAAGATTCCAGCGTTGCATTGCCATTCTGCGAGAAAAAAGATACTTCCAGCGGACCGTTTATAGGCTTACACTTGTCAAGGGGTTCAATGTCGACGAAGAAGTAGTTGGTTATGCCGATCTTGTAGAAAAAGGTCTCCCTTGTTTTGTTGAGGTCAAGGGGGTGACTTTTTGTGGCACAAGTACTAGTGCGAGGGCTGGGTTGACCATGAAAAATGTTCCGTTTTATGAAGAAGTCGTCTCCTTTGTTGTCGCGTTAAATGCTGAACTGTCCCGGCGTGGTCTTGGGTACGGCATTGCTGCTGAACATAGTCACAGCTGTTGTATTCTTCTTGCGTCAAACCGCTTTTTTGTGAACGATCGGTGGCATACGAGAATCGATTACGATAAATTTTTCATTCTTCTACAGAGGGAGAAAAGTGACGGGATCCAATTTCGTCCTGAAGACTATATGAGGGAGACCGAAGGATGGGCGTTATGGGGTAATGGAGGTTTTGATCCGAACGACACCCGCGTTTATACCCGGGGGAAAAACAAGGCCAAGCAGAACGCTACTATTGAGGAGTCACTGGCACAAGGCGCTTCCGTTAACGGTTGAGATGTATCCGAGAAATGTATTGAACTTCGTTGAAACATGCGCGCAGGCATATAACCACCGTATGAAGCGCACTGACTATGGAAACATCAATTTACCGTGTTTAATGACGAGACGAGTTGCGACCAAACCCTGTGCTTGTGGAGAAGAAGTCATATGCCCAAAGGCTTTGTCTGTCAATCTCTATGTGTCAAGTACAGCATTTGGTACGTTGTTTTGTTTCCTGCATAACATCGACCTGTCGAAAAACTGTGAACTCATTCCTTGCTGGCCCTCAAAAACGGGGGCTTCAATTCCTAATTGATATTCAACCTCCACCTCACCCCTTCCCACATACGGGTTGGGGGTTGGACCATTGAGGATGGCACAGTTTTCCACCCAAGTGCGCACTTCAGGGGCTCTCGAGGAGCTTAACAAGAATCGAGGTTCAAACCTGCCTGGAATTTAGAGTGACGACAGAACTGGGCATTATGATATATTATTTGTATATAAGGACAACGCGAATCCAGTTGAACCCGTCTGCCTAATTTCGCAGTGATCAGTTTGCGAATTTCACTGCTAATTGCACTTGATCTCCTTTAAGTATCTGATCCACTCCAGGCACAAATGCATTTTCCCGTAATCTCTGTTGGTTCAAAATAGTCTGTGGTTGTGGTTTGACTGATTTAATACAGCAGCCGAAGAGTTGAAATGCAGGCGCCATGTTCAACCTGTATTGACACGAGCACGATATCATACCAACGGACGGACATCTATTGAACTAGTGACCTATGTAGGTATCATAATATTCTATTAGCTACGGCAATTCGGAATGCAGCATCTACCAACACACATGGATCCATACAGGTGGTGTCACTCAAATCTAACATAGACTCCACAGTTTCATGGTTAATTTGAGAGCGGTAACTAGTTAGTTGCCTGAGCTTTTGACTGCTATTGGGTGCCATTTCCTCCATTCCCAGTCACAGCTGGATTGTCCCTTCTCTCAATAAAGGTAGTCAACATCATGGTTGGTATGTGGGTAAAATCAACACGAAGTGTAACCTGGAAAATGTGCGGAGTAGCTATATTGGTTATTGGTGCAAGGGAAATAAGCATAACTTATCAAATAATCACAATCTTAACTGCTCCTGGCGCTCTCTCGTTCCTAGTCTTGACCAGTCTGGGTTTTTTGATTCATTTTGTGCCAACATATAGATATATCATATGTTAAGCATTGCTTCGGCTGTCTTCAGAGTATAATTATTTTTTTGTTGGAGGGGTTTTATTTCATCATTGAGGGAGAAAGCATTTGATATGGTTGTTTGGATCCCCTCAGCTTTGTGTCTTGCTGTGGGATTATTCGCCCACTGCGCTCCAGCTTTGGATAATGGGCTGGCGTTGACACCACAGATGGGCTGGGTAGCTATTCTTCTCTTGAGCATGGCCTTGTCGGATAGTTAATTCTAACATCCCCTTCTCCAAAAACAGAATACGTGGAACTCGTTTTATTGCGACCTGAATGAGGAAGTGGTTCTTGACGCAGCGGACAAGATCGTTCAGCTGGGTTTCATGGACCTTGGTTATGAATATATTGTGTTGGATGATTGTTGGTCTGCGGGACGCAATTCATCCGACTATTTACAACCGAATCTCGAGAAATTTCCGAGTGGAATTGATGGGCTTGCCGCCAAAATACACGCCATGGGCCTGAAAATCGGAATATACTCTAGCGCTGGAACCAAGACATGCGCTCATTACGAAGGTTCGCTGGGCTATGAGGAGAAAGATGCTGAGCTTTGGGCAAGCTGGGGAGTAAGTTCAGGCCCAAAACCCTAACCAAGCCAGAAGAAAGGTTTGATGTCAGGAGAGGTCGACTAACGGTAAATCCCCAGATCGATTATCTAAAATATGACAACTGCTACAATGAGGGTCAAGAAGGGACGCCCCTCCTTTCCTTCAATCGGTACAACGTTATGGGCAAGGCCCTTAACGCTACAGGCAGACCGATTTTGTACAGTCTGTGCAACTGGGGTATCGACGGGCCGTGGAACTTTGCGCCCACCATTGCCAATTCGTGGCGCATAACGGGAGACCTATTCCTCAACTATAACAGGGAAACACCGGAGTGCCCCTGCGCAGAATTGGGCGGTCTTGATTGCAAGCTGCCTGGATTCCGCTGCTCCGTGATGAATGTTCTTAACAAAGCAGCCTACCTTCCATCTAAGGGATTTTCTGGGGCGTGGAATGATCTGGACATGCTCGGTATGTGTTAACTACCCCTTTAAGGAGAGGGATTCTGGCTACGTTAAGAGCTCTCTAGTTGACAAACAAGGAAGTGGTGGGTAATGGGGGGTTGACGGATGACGCAATGGTCGCACACTTCAGCTTGTGGGCGGCATTAAAATCACCGTTGCTGATGACACCTGTATTGAGTAAGGTCGATGCGAAAAGCCTCTCCATTTTGCAAAATATCGCAGTCCTGGCGATCTCACAAGACTCTGCTGGTTTATCCGCAACCCGTAAATGGAGACAGTATGTCGGGGACGCGGATGAATTTGGACGAGAAGGGGAAATTCAGATGTTTAGTGGTCGCCTTGCTGGAGGGGATGAAGTTGTCCTGTTCCTCAACGCAGCAGCAACCGATAGGCAGATGGAGTCTTCCCTTGAAGACATATTCTGGGATCGGGGGCCCGGCGGAATTGCTCCCGAAATCCAGGAGACATGGGACATATACGATCTGTGGGCAAACCGCATGGATGACGAAACTGCCTTGACAATTATCCATGGGAATGCATCTCAGGAAGTCATGGCTGAACGCAACCTAACTGCGCTGGGAGGCCCTAGGAAGGTATTTGCAAAAGTGCCCAAGTCAACCTCGGCGACATTCATGGGGTTGAAGATCGGAAGCGTACAGCCCGGTGGTGTTGTAACGGCATTTGTCAAGGCCCATGGCGTAGCGATGTTCCGTCTTCGCCGGAAGCCATCCCTCCACCGGGATGAATTATGAAAAGATCTCCCCAGGCTGGGCTTACTTGGGTAGTTAAACAGGTTATTAATATGTCTGTGAGTGGACCGGGCTTTTTGCAGTTAACTAACTAGCCATCAATGTGGAAATTTTCCTGTCCGATGTGGCGGCCTTCCGCAAGGGTCCAACCAACCAAAACCCCGACCAACTATTGGCCACAACTAGTTAAACAGTAAAATGTTGTGATTAATGATGCGCAATCGTTTTTACCCATTTGCATCCCGATATTTTCTCTCCGTCTATCTCATCCGGATTGCCTTGTCGGGCAGCGGATTTGCCCCCCGCAGAGCCCTGCGGAGCATTGGCCAAACGGGGCTATCCGGCGTTGCCCTGCAAATTCCGGGTCCGGTCATGTGATGTTCCCAGCGGGGGCCGGCGTTTGTAGTTAGTAGTGGGAAACGGCGAAAGAAAATGCAACTGTCCAAGTTCCATTGGGTTGGGTTGACCCTTGGGCTTTGGTTGGTAGGGTCTGGTAGGGTCTGGTAGGGTTTGGTAGGGTTTGGTAGGGTTTGGTAGGGGTTTGATAGGGTTAGGGTTAGGGTTAGGTTGCCCCCCTTCGTCACTAGCTACTCCGTCCCTCTGCAGTTGACGCACTTATAATAGTTAGTCATGTGATCCTTAGAAGTCAAATGCCTCCTAAACTCGCTACTCCTTTCCCAAATATGATTATTACTCTGCAACACAAAGGGTTCGGTTCTTTTTATTCCCATAACTAATCAGCCCAGTCAAAGTTTCGTGAAACTGCCTTATATCCCTTCAGCCTTCCAAGCTGCATTTTGCAGCCAGCTCTGTAATTAATTAATTAATTAGTGGGAGCCTCCAACCTGTGGGCAACTGGCTGCAAAGCCAAATAGTAATTAATACTGATGATGACAGGCTAGTGGTTTCAAGAAGAACTCCGTATCGTCGTCGGTGGTTCGCCACTCTTTATTGTGTCTGGCCTAAAGAGCGGTTCCGGTTCCAGTGAGGAGAAAAGCTTTCTTAGGTTCATCCCCTTTGCCAAACCAGCAAATTCCCCGCCAACGCGCGCCCAAACCCCCAAGGGCGACAAGGGGATCTAGTTGTGGAACGTTCCCCCTGGCGGAACTTGACATCAAGGTTAACTAACTAACTATTATTATGTAAAATATCCCCTGACCCGCTCCGCCTCTGTTTCTCTCCCTACTGCAGTGCGCCGTTGTTATTTTAGCTGATTGTTAATTTTTAACTAACTAGTTAGTGAACTATTAACTTAGTTATGGTTATTAACTGTAACTCACTAGTTTAAGGCTTATAACCTTTCACGTCCCCTCAAGCGTTCTTTTGCTCCATCTCTTAAACCGTGCGCAGTCCTCAACAGCAGATTCCAGGTGTTTGAGAGATAGACGTTATGCATAGAATCCCTGCCGTATCCGCCGTCTCTCCGCGCTCAGCGGTGCAGGCCACCCCCATCACCTCTGTTTCGCGGTTTGCCCGTAGTTTTGGCAGCTTTGCAGGCTTCAAGGTTCCTAGGGCGCGCAACGAACCAAATGCAGGTTTACTCCATTCCCTGAGGTTGCTAGCAGTCTTTTCTCCCGCCACTGCTAACTTTCTCCCCTTAAATCCAGCAACATTATGGGAAAAATTCGCCGGAGCGTTTGGGACTAGAACGCTCCTTAAAATCACTGAAGCAAAAATTCCCGCTTGAAGTCCCAGCTGTTATCGGAGGCAAAAATGTTAAGATTTTTTTTTTTCTTTTTTTTTTTCTTTTTTTTCTTTTTTTTAATTTTTATTTAAACTTGGGTTAAGCCATCCTTTCCAATGCTTACTCTCCTATCCCATCATCCAGATCAAATCTCCCAACCTATCTCGCCAGCCAAACCCGTCTTTCCACGCTGAAGCTGTGGCTCATTACTATAATGTCGCCGAAGAACATGTCCACCAGGCAATCGACGCTGCCCTGAAGTCTAAGCTAGAATGGGAACTTCTCTCCTTTGCCGATAGAGCTGCCGTTTTTCTCAAGGCTGCTGATCTGATAGCGGGGAAGTACCGCTACGATATCATGGCCGCCACCATGCTTGGCCAAGGGAAGAACGCCTGGCAGGCTGAGATAGATGCTGCTGCCGAGCTTGCGGATTTCCTACGGTTTAATGTTCAGTATGCGGAGGAGCTGTATGCCCAGCAGCCTCAGCATCATTCGCCAGGTGTTTGGAACCGCGTGGAATACCGCCCATTAGAAGGATTTGTGTATGCGATATCTCCTTTCAACTTTACCGCCATTGGGGGTAACCTATGTGCCGCGCCCGCCCTTCTTGGTAATGTCGTTGTCTGGAAGCCATCGCCGTCTTCCATGGCCGCGAGCTATCTTCTGTACCAAATTTTCCTTGAAGCGGGCCTTCCCCCAAATGTGATTCAGTTTGTGCCGGGCGATGCTGAAATGGTTACCAGCATTGCCCTCACGCACAAGGAATTCGCTGCCCTTCATTTCACCGGAAGCAGCTCCGTTTTCCGGTCTTTGTATGGAAAGATAGGTCAATGCATTGCGAATGGCGTATACCGAAGCTATCCCCGAGTGGTTGGTGAAACCGGCGGCAAGAATTTCCATCTGGTCCACCCTTCTGCTGATATTACCAATGCTGCCATCAACACCGTTCGTGGCGCTTTTGAGTATCAGGGACAAAAATGCAGTGCCACTTCTCGTGCCTACGTCCCCCAGTCCCGCTGGGAAGAGTTTAAATCTCTGCTCATCAGTGAGACAGAAAGTTTGAAGTCAGGCCCGCCGGAGGATTTTGGCAGTTTTATCGGGCCTGTTATCCATGAGGTATCTTTCAAAAAGCTCACTGGAGTTATGGATGCTGCGAATAAGGACTCCGAACTTGAGTTGATCGTTGGGGGGAAATATGATGGTAGCCGGGGGTATTTCATTCAGCCTACTATCTACCTCGCAAAGGATCCCCACCACAAACTTATGTCTACCGAACTCTTTGGACCCATTCTCGTCATTTATGTGTATGACGACACTAAATCTCCCGTTGAAGCATTCCAAAAAATCTGCGGAACCATCAATAATACATCAGAGTACGGCCTAACTGGTTCTGTCTTTTCTGTACAAAGGGACGCCATTCGGTACGCTGAGGAAGCACTGAGAAATACGGCTGGGAACTTCTACATCAATTGCAAGTCGACAGGCGCTGTTGTTGGACAACAACCGTTTGGTGGAGCTCGACAGAGCGGAACAAATGATAAAGCAGGAAGCGCAACCATTCTCAGCAGATTTGTGAGCATGCGTTCGATTAAAGAGGAATTCTCTGCCCTCTCCCAGACCACATACCCCAGCAACGAGGTATAGCTCAAAATCAAAAAGGGCTTCCACATCTGTCAAAAGGTGTCTCGACTAGGTAAAGCTTTTTGTTATGATGTGCTAGGGGCATGCGGTATATAATTAAAACGATTATCCGGTAAGAAACGGCTTCAGCGATTTTCAAGACCAACGACAGCATGTTTAACCGAGGTAGAATGGAAACATCGAGAATAATTTTTCTCCAGGGTTCGGTCATCTCTGAACAGAACATTTGAACATGCGGCTGTTTCGGTCGAATGAAACAAGGGAGATTTTACCGTAGTTGATAAATAGGTGTTCGAGCCACCTCATCACTGTACAGGTTGATAGTTAAAAGAGAACAACAACCCACATAGGAAAAATAGATTAATTATATTAAGAATTATCTACAAATCAGCTTTAATAGGTGTGCAAACATAACATAGTAAATTACCTTCCCTGACAAACTTTTCAAATTTATATAACTAACTAATTAAACTTTTACATTTAGTCACTTCAGTTTCAATTACAAAATTAATTGAAAACTTTTTCGATCTTAGTAAAGAAAAGTATATAACTGGTTAACTAGTTAGTTAGTTAGTTAATTAACTAAGTTAATTAATTAGATTATAGTATTTTAATATAAATTATTTTTTATTTTAAATTAAATATAAAAAATATGTCATGAGCTATTATTCAATAATATAAATAAAATATTATATACTTTATATTTATATTTTTTTGTTATATCATAATATTAATTATAAATTATCTATTAAATTTTATTTATTAAATTTTATTTCAATAATTTAATTTATGAATTAATTATTATATTTTTATTTGTATTGTTATAAATTTAAAAACTTTTATTTTATAAATTATATAATTAAGTTTAAATTTAACAAATTAAATATTTTTAAATTATATTATTAAAAATATATTATTTTATAATATTATTAATTTTATCAAGAAAATAAATTTAATTATAATATATTTTATATAATTAAATTTTTTAATATATAATAATTTAAATATAATTTTAGAATGTAAATTAATTAAATATAAAATATAAAATTATTATCTATATATAACAAAAATAAAGTAAAAAAAATAAGAAAAATTAAATTTAATAATTTTTCATAAATTAAACATTTCAGCAGAAAGATCAATTTATATATATTATCATTCAAGTCATTATTAAGCTATAAATGAAGCAAACTTGCATTAAAGATAAAAGTTCAGAAAATTATTATTTAAAGTTATAACATAGCTATATGAATAATATAATTCAATAAAGAAAATATACAAAACAGATAAAATAAAGAAAATTGCGAGAAAAGTAAATAAATAAATGAAAATAAATAATAATAAAAAAAGACAATGAAAATAAAATGTTCGTGCGATGAGTGGAGATCATTTATAGTAATTTTGAAAGTGATGATGTTGCAACTAAATCTGATCAGTGCTTGCTGCTATTAATCCAACAGGACAAATTCCCTGTGATAAAGAATAAGCGATGAGTTCGTTTTACCTACAGTCCACCTCGCTTCCAAGTATACACCCGACAAGGTCTAGCCCGGCGGAAGGATCCACACCATTAACCGCAATGAACATTGCACGCTACTTTCCCCAGTGACCTAATCCCCATTCAGAGGCGGTTTTTTACCTTTCCTGTATTATCAGCAAGCTTAGAGAATATTCTGCTCAAATCAACTCACCATAGGACTATGCGACGTGCCAGGATCCAATGAGCCAGGTTCTGCCGAACTCGATCCCTCGGGGTGATCCATGGGTCGATATGCAGCAAACTTTGAGCTGCACATCTTCCAGCGCCGTGGTGATCGCTTCCCGGCAAGTCTAAAAATATGGCAGGGGAAGTATAAAGGAGGCCGGTGACTCCTGCTGCTCCAAAATTTATATATTTTGCCATGTTTGTTGTCACTTGTCCTTTCTTGTCATACACACCCTCCCAACCTCCTTGTCTTTTGCCAAAGCAACATAACTTGGATTGTTTATTTGTTACATCGCGAACCTTGCTGCCTGCGCGTCGCTCTTTTTAAGAGAGCGCAACATTTCGCACCGAGAAAATGGATATGCATATGGCGATGAACCACTCTTCGGCAAACGATGCTCAATCTTCCATGCAAGGAATGCATGGCATGCACGGCGGAGGCAGCTCCTGCGTGATTTCTGTATGTGGCAGCCTCCTTATGGAAAAAAAAAAAAAAGGAAAAAAAAAAGTGATTTTGCCAGCGGGGATGGATCGCTACGGGCTGTAGTACGGGCTCTGGGGTGTGCGGTGTTAGGTGTGGAGCTGACAAAATTGGTTTTCATTAGATGCTTTGGAATTGGCATGTCATGAATGCCTGTATGTCCATCGACCCTCCAAATTCCTCGTTTTGATTTGATTTATTTGGTTTCTTTAACTCTTTTTAACTGTTTTGATAGGCTTCATATCCTCATCATGGAGAATCACGTCCAGAGGAATGTTTGTAGGGTCATGTATAGGCGTCATCCTCCTCGTCATGACTCTCGAGTTCCTCCGACGGGTCGGTAGTGAATTCGACAGGTATCTCGCTGGGAAACGCTTGAGTGTCCCGACCCGGCTGCAGCGGACGAACGTGAACCCGAAGTCGACAACCAGTTCCTGTGAAAGTCCGACTGAAGCATCTGTGCTGCAGCCACAACCTCAGGTGCGACCTACGCTTCTTCAGCACACTGCCCGCTCGCTGCTTCACATGATGCAATTCGGAGTTGCTTACATTATCATGCTGCTGGCCATGTACTACAACGGGTACATAATCATTTCGATCTTGATAGGATCTTTCCTGGGCTTCTTTGTGTTTTCATGGAGATCAGGCGAAGAAAAGTGAGTAAACTAATATTAGTATGTGGTTAGAGGGCATTTTCCCCCTCTTATTTAGAGAGCTGCTAATGCGAAAGTTATTGCTACACTAGGGACGCCTGCAAGGTAACTGTCTGTTGCGGTTAGCACCAAACAAAAAGATGCTGGCATTTATATTTGCTTGTTGCAATTTTGATATCGGAAAAGTTGGAAAGATGAGAAACATGAGTGCGAAAGGACCAATTGTTACATGTAATGTACTGTACATACATGTGCACTTGTAAGATAATGTATAGATACATCTCCAATGCATTCTGAGTCAACTTGATGTGTTTTTCCTAGACATTTTCCTTTTTAAAAGACTTTTTTATATTAATAATCAATTAACAGAGCAAACAGTGATGTAATAATATTTTCATTCTTTTTATCATTTTTTTTATGATTTTTTAACATTTTAAAAAGAAATATTTTATAAATAGTAAAATTTTATTCTTATCTATAGATTATGTTAGAATTAGTACAGTTTTAATTATTTAGTATATAATATTAAAATTTAAAAATAATTAATTAGTAGATTTTTTATATATTTTATAATATTTATATATTATATATTTAATATTTTTGATATTAATATTAATAGTTTATTATTTAATTAATTTAAATAATTTTTAAAAAATTTAAATAAATAATATAATAAATAAAGTATTAAAAATAATTTTAATACTTTTTTATAAAATATAAATTCATTAAAAGAAGAAAAAATAATATTAAAATAAAGTCTTAATAATAATAATAATAAATATAATTAAAATTTATATAAATTAAAATTTTAATAAAAATATAAATATAATTATTTTTTATAATATTTTTTTATATTTATAAAAATATTAATATTTTTAATAATAATAAATAAAGTATTAAAAAGGAAATTAGTATTTAAAAATATATTATATATAATAATTATTATGAAGAGCTATATTTTAAATTTTATAATATTTAGATTATATTTTTGAACTATTTAAATATTATCAAAATAATAGTATTGAAGTAATCTCTTTGTTTTTTTTTATTATTATTATTATTTATATATTCTTCTATCTGTACTAGTTTCTATTACAAAAGTACTAATTCTTATATTGAATCTTCATTTTATATTAAAAAAAGCTTGATTTTTTATAAAATTTATTTTTTTTCTTTCTTTCATAACAATTTTTTTTCTGTTTCTATATATACTAGTTGTTAGCTGTTTTCAGTGACTAGCTCATCATATTATAAATTATTTCAAGATTATCTGTCTGAGATTTAAAAAGTCAGTTTTATCAAAGTCTATACACAGCACAGAGCTGTTCATATACAAGAAGAGATATAATATATCTCTATAATTCACTATAGAAGATGTCAAGTTAATAAAAGATTTAAAAGACTTTAATGATCTCAGTTTATGTGATTTATCATTGATATCTCTATAACTAATGATTAATTTTACAACTTAGTTAGGTATATTAATATGAATATGAGAAAGTCTGAACATATACATTCATATGACTTTAAAACCTTCTTTAGCAATAGATCTTATAAAAAGAAATCTATTATAATTCAACTAGAGACATGATAATAAAAGTTCAATTTATTTATCTAACTAAATAGCTGCAATAAAAATACTAAACTGAGAATTAAAATATAAAATAAATCAGCAGCTAAATATATAAAGATGGTTAAAAATCAGAACAGATCAATCTTTACAGCAGAGGAAATATATTAGGCTCAGCGGTGCCCGGTTAGACTCGACGTCGGATTAGGCTCGGCGCCCGATTAGGCCTAATCCTCATCGCATGACCACGTGACCATGCAGGTGGTTATGTAGGATGGTTGAATCTCTCATATTGGGAGGCTATCTAATATACGCTATATCACGTGCGGCGGGGCGGCAGCTCGGACCATCATACGCTCAACAGGTTATAATTCAGGCAGGTCCCAGCACCTTCATTCATCCCATCAAGCTTAGTATTTCATTATATAGCAGTTAGCAATGCAGAGAGTTTTCTTCTTATGCAGCTCACATTCACTCTCTAACATAATACTAAGCTTCTCTTCTATCTTTTCACTTAGATTTCAGCAGAAAACTTAAGTGTCTCAGTTGAATTAGAATTTGCTAGTTGAGTGTTTGACAATGTGTCAGATCAACTAACGTAACGTAAACCGCCACACAACGCACGCCGCCACACAACGCACGCCCCAAAAAGCCGATTTTTGAACCCAACCTTCCACCTTCAATCATCTACAACATGCCAACCAAAGAAGCTGTAGAGCTCGCAGTGGCTGAATTCCTTTCGCAAGAGGCTGGCAATTATACTACTGTTGCAAAAAAATACGGAATTCATCGAACTACGCTTATGCGACGCGTTACGGGCAAATCAGTGTCTCGAGAAACTGCCGACTCCCTATATAGACAGAAACTTACGAACTCTCAAGAGGAAGAGCTTATTCGATATATAAATCGTCTTACGGACCGTGGCTTTCCTCCTACACCTCGAATTCTTCAAAATCTATTTGAAGAAATCCTTCAGGAGCCGATTGGCGAGCATTGGATCTCTAGATTTTGTCAACGCCACAAGGATCGCATCAAAAGCCTATATTTACGAGCAATTGATCAAAAACGCAAGAGAGCTGATAAGTCTGAGTATTTTCAGCACTTTTTCCAGCTTGTATTTGATTGATTTTTATTTACATTGCCTGCAATTTAATGAGGGGTTGCTAATGCTTGAGCATCTTAGCTAGACGAAAAGGTCAAAAAATTCAACATTCGACCATCTAATACGTGGAATCTTGATGAGAAGGGCTTTCTTATGGGCGTCATGCAAATCAGCAAGCGAATAGTCTCTGTACAGCAGCTTAAGAGCGGGAGCTTGCTAGGCACGATTCAGGATGGGAGTAGAGAATTCATCTCTTTGCTAGCCGCCATATCAGCCAGTGGAAGGTCAACGCCGCCAGGTCTTATATATCAGTCAGACTCCGGGGATTTGCAAGATACGTGGCTAGAAGATTTTGATTCTAAAGAGCATGAGGTCTTTTTTGCTGCCTCCCCGAACGGCTGGAGCAGTGATCAATATGGATTACATTGGTTGCAACGGGTCTTTAATCCTCATACAAAGGCTAGGAATGGAGCCTGGCGCCTGCTCATCCTTGACGGCCATTCTTCTCATGTCAATATGAAATTCATCAACTACGCTGATCAAAATCGTATTATCCTTGCTGTACTGCCGCCTCATTCAACTCATCGCTTGCAGCCTTTGGATGTTGGTATTTTTGGACCTTTATCAAAGGCATACTCTCAGCAGGTGGATTTATTCTTACGCTCAGCAATGGGAGGTGTATCCATTAAAAAACGCAACTTCTTTTTATTATTCCACAACGCCTGGAAGCAAGCTGTCACGAAGTCAAATATAGAGTCTGGATTTGCTGCTACTGGCATTTATCCTCTCTCACCAGATCGGGTGCTTAGCAAGCTTGCTAGACCAAGCACTCCAGTCACAGCAGAGCCAGTCACACCCACTACCATACGAGGACTGCGACGGGCAGTTAAGAAGTTAAATCAACGGCGAAGAATCTCTACTGGGTTCCGAAAAATCATTCATGCTAGTGAAAGACTAGTTTTTGAAAAAGAGATTTTGCAGCATGAAAATAAGCTTCTATACAAAGCTTTACGAAAGGAGAAGAAGCGCCGCCAATGTGGAAAGCCTCTAGGTCTTGTGGATAAAGAGAATTCGCGTGCTGCTCAATTCTTTTCACCTTCTAGGATTGCGGCAGCACGTCAGCAGCTTGAGACCGACGAGGCTGCTAAGATTAGTGAGGCTGCTGAAAAAGCAGCAGGCAAGCTTCAACAGGATATATTACGTCAAGAGAAAGCGATCGTAAAAGCTGCAAAGCAAGCTGCAACTCGAGCTCTTAGGCTGGCTAATGCTCAGAAGCGAGAGAGACAAAAAGCTGAGGTTGCTGCTCGCGTGGCTGCTCGTAAACTAGCTGCTGAGCGAAAGAAGACTGATAAGGAAGCTGCTCAGCAAGCTACTAGAGAGTTAAAGCTTTCT